GTCCAGCAATGGGTCGACTCATTGAAAATCTTTGCAGAGGCGGCGCCCAATACACCCCTCCTATACTATCACATCCCGTCAATGGCCGGGGAGTTTACAACCTGTTAGTGAATATTTTGGTTGTTTTTGAGCGTTAATTGATTTTTTATAACTAATGTAAAGTCGATATCATTGACGCGATCGGTGAGGGAATCAAACAAATACCACAATTGGCGGCAATGAAAGTGAGTTTAAGAGCTATTCTTTTAATGAAATGTTTTAAAACTAATAAAGTTTTGTGTGAATGTATGGATCAGTTCACAGACGACAAAGTGATCCGATTCGCGACCCTTCAGAAGAAGTTCAAAGATGTGTTCAAAATATTCATTGGTTTCGATCAGGTATTGAAATATTAAGTAAATTTTTAGTTAAAAATATGAACAACTTCTTGAAACACATGTCAGGTCTTACTGACGGCAAAGGTAGCCCTGGACTGTGAGGCGGGTATCTGCGCGCTGTTTAATCTGCCAGAAGTGGTTCAGTCGTACAAAAAGATCATTGAATTGGTCGGGAAGTTAGACCTCGAGAGCGCCCGAAGAGAGCAAAATAAGATCATCGATGAGTGCATTAAACACCAGTCGAGCGGAAACTTCTTCTTATCGATTAAGACTGCGTTCAACGCAACCGTCAAACCATTGGGTCTGGACTTTGGTTACCCCCGACCTCCCATTCATTATGCATACAAATGGTGATTGAATTGATTAATGATTGTTAAGAATTGACCAGATTTTCAATAAATATGTAATGAATGGCACAAATATTATGTATTAATTGTTAATTAACATTAATCTTGGTGAAGTATAAAGAAAAACATGATTAATATATAAATAATAGTTTATTTAAAACGAATTTAAGATTTTTAGATTCATAACAAAAAATGAAACAGATTTTGAATATTTGAGAGACAATTGAGAAAAGTTTTAATGAATTATAAATTAGATAATACATTTAATAGAATTTAGATAAAGGATTAGGATTAGTGAAATCAACAAAGCTAAATTGTTGTCTAACGGGTGAGACCACCTAATAAATTAGAAAACAGTCCGGCTGATTGGGTCGGGACTTGGGTTGAGACGGGAGGTGAGGATTCTGTAGGCATATAGTGGACTGAAACCAAACCAGTGTTGGATATGTCAATGAGTTTGGCAAAAGTCGGAGAGTCATTGGAGTTCCACTCAATATCCCACTGACCACTACTTCCGGGGGAATGACTCAGAGCACCGGTAAGAGTAAAGTTATGTCCGTTTAATACACATTGCATTCCGTTTGAAGGGTCTTTGATCGAGGAGATCTTATTAACAACGGATCCGTTGGTACAGACTGTGTGTAAACCATTGTTTGAGTTTCCGTTAGATTGGATTCCCAAAAGCGAGTCAATTGATCCCGAGTCTAATTCTTGATTAATGTGTTCCTCTAAATTATGGAGAGCTCCAAGAATTTGTTGCTTCAATTCATGAGATATTTCCGAGATTTGGGAACAATTTGTGCTATTCTTTTGATTTATGCTGATTGAGATCTGACCATCAGTTATCATTATTGCTCCGCCATTGGGAAGGTCTGCAGATCCTACGTGATGAGCTCCAGTACCGACCACTGCACCACCATTAGCACCGTTTCCGACAACTGGTCCGGATTTCGGGAGGTCTACTGATCCCACGGGATGAGCTCCAGTACCAACAACTGCACCACCATTAGCACCATTTCCGACAACTGGTCCGGATTTCGGTAGGTCTACTGATCCCACGGGATGAGAACCAGTACCGATCACTGCACCACCATTAGCACCGTTTCCGACAACTATACCGGATTTCGGGAGGTCTACTGATCCCACGGGATGAGCTCCAGTACCAACAACTGCACCACCATTAGCACCATTTCCGACAACTGGTCCGGATTTTGGGAGGTGTACTGATCCCACGGGATGAGCACCAGTACCGATCACTGCACCACCATTAGCACCGTTTCCGACAACTATACCGGATTTCGGGAGGTCTACTGATCCCACGGGATGAGCACCAGTACCAACAACTGCACCACCATTAGCACCATTTCCGACAACTGGTCCGGATTTTGGGAGGTGTACTGATCCCACGGGATGAGCACCAGTACCGATCACTGCACCACCATTAGCACCGTTTCCGA